AATTATCTGAATTAAATTGGAAGTCATGGAAACTCCTCCATGATGATTAAAAACATTTGAGAAATATAGTTTCTGTGTAATTTAACCATTTTAGTAATAAGGCCAGCACATTATTAATAAAAGGGTGGTAATTTGGTCATCTCTTTTAGACCAAAGACCCCTAATGGGTGGCTCACTGTTTTTATGTCCTTCAAAGAGTAGGCATTCCCCAGGGGTACCTAATCAGCTCTGATTGGTTTACACAGTGGAAAATGGATTATCTTGGGGTAGTGACTTAGGTCACCCAAATCTTGGTCAAAGAATCATCAATTTCCATTTTACTTATCATGATAATAGGGAGAATCAACTTTTCCCAGACCAGTCAGTAAAAATACCTTGAGCAGGAATACATCCATTAGACGAAACATAGAATTTCTTTTACTGTCTGATTAGATCTTGGCCAGGCTAAATCTCTAAAAAAAGATTTCCCACATTGGTTGCTTTCTGGATGAGGAAATAGAAAAGGGGGAAAACCTTGGTCCTAATACAATAATTAGTTATTAAAGGAGAAATATTTGTTTCTCATGCCTCATAATATGTAGCAGAAAAAATCTAGCCAAAGTATCATTACCAGCATTTCCCAACTCACTTAAGGGAAGAGTAATATAGAGTATATCCTCTTGTTGATCCCTGGTTTGAAATAAATTTAGAAAATCTTAAATATGACTCTAACTTCTTAAGTATATGGGAGACATAGAATCTGTTTGGGCATAGGTGAACTGAATAGCTCAGATTTTATAGCTGCTTAAATATGAACAGGAAACATCAGAGAGAAAAGTCTCCTTGGCACTGTCCACATTTCTAGCAAGGTAAGTTGGGTTTCAAAACAATCAAACAAACAAAAATTAAATTATTTTAAGGTAAGACCCCTAGTTCTGGGTCCTAAAATCAAAAGCTATAAATGGTGAAGTCAGTTTTTGCTTTTTTTAATTCTAGGGCAAACACTAAATACTGAATTCAAAAGTGGTTGTAAAATAAGGTGAATACCTCCACTATGAGGGTGCCATGGGATCTCTCATTCATTCAATAAGCATCCATTAAGTGTCAATTAATTTTGTGCAAAGCATTGTAGCATACACTGAAGTAACAAAGATATTTACAACACAGGCACTGCTTTTCAAGAACCTTAACATCTAATACAAATAATTATAATGCAAGGAAGAGGAAAGGGTAAAGGAGAGATCCAGGCAAAGAGTGATGAAAACTGTCAGGAGGGAAAGATCATTTTTACCCAATAGAGGGAAGTTGTAGGTAAGACTTCATGGAATAGGTGACACCTAAGTTGGACCTTGAAGGATGGACTTCAACAGATGGAGAATGGGGTAGGGGAATCCTATCCATGTACAATAAGAAAAGCATGAGCAAAGGTACAGAGATGGAAGATGGTGGGATGAATACATTGAAAGCAGTCCTTTTGGGTTTAAACATAGAGTATGAAGGGGAGAATTGTGAAATAAAGCTGGGAGGGTAGAATGAAGCCAATGCAGAGGGTCTTAAATGCACAGATGAAAAGGTTATACTTTAATCAGTAGGCAATAGGGAGCCACTGAAGACTTTTGAATAGAATAACATGATCATAGCAGTGCATTAGGAAAATTGTTTAGTCAGTGCTATGAAGGATGGATTCAGAAAACAGAGAGACCAGAGACTATTGTAGTACCATAGGTGAAAAAACAAAATGGCCTCATTTGCAGTAGAAGTTGAGGATAACAAAATGAGAGATGGATAGAATCAAGTGGACTTGGCAAGTGATGGTAGGGAGGGGGATGACTCTAAAATTATGAGTCTAGATGACTGGGGAACATGGTGCTGCCATTAACAGAAATAGAAAAGTTATAGGGAGAAGCAGGTTTTAGGGGGAAGATGATGAATTTAATTTTAATTGAGCCTGCTGTAGCAGTGGTCCATCCACATGGAGATATCCAGAAGGCAGCTGGAAATATGGTAATGGAACTCTAGGCAGAGACTAAAATTGGAAATTGAGACTTGGGAATCATCTACATAATGGCATTCACTAGAAGCGTGGGAGTAAGTTAGATCACCAAGGGAAAGAGCATTCATAGAAAGGAGAATAGGGTCAAAGACAGAACTTTGGGAGACAGCTATGCTTGTAGTGACTTGTCATCTATTTATTTAAGAAAAATAGAGATTTTTCTCATATATAATTCTAGCCACCAGGTTGTTTTACTAAGTATTTGGTAGGTGCTAAATTTTTGCTGCTTAGAATGTTGTTTTGCATAGTTTCTACTGTTGCCTTATATAATCTGCATTGATCAACGTGATGAGGAGGAGGAGGAGGATATTTAACTTGGTGGATCTATGCTGACTTATACAGGTTTAAGATAGTAACTTTACTCATAATATTTAATACTATTTTCAAAATGGAATTAGTTTATACAGTGTGTGTGTGTGTGTGTGTGTGTGTGTGTGTGTGTGTATAGCTTTTTGGTGAGACAATCGGGGTTATGACTTGCCCAGGGTCATACAGCTAAGTAAGTGTCATGTATCTGAGGCTGGATTTGAACTCACATCCTCCTGATTCCAAGGCCAGAGCTCCATCCATTGCACCACCTAGCTGCCCCTAATTTATGTATTATTGATGTCTATTACCTGAGAACTGTAAATAAGTAGGACCTCCCAGAGTATACTATACATTTCCTATATAATTAATCTATTTTTTAAATCTATTTATTTGTATTTAGTTTTTTTCCTCAGTAGATTATAAGAATTTTGAGGGCAATAACTGATTTTGTTTTTTTTTTAAAGACTGGGTCTTCCTAACTTGCCCAGGATGGAGGTATAGGGGATACTCACTGGTCTGATTCCACTCTGATAAGTGTAGGAGTTTTGACCTGCACTGTCTCCCACCTCAGCTGGGTCACTCCTCCTTAGGCACCTCAGTGTCTCCTTTCCACCTTCCTCTCTACACTTAATTCCTTGCGCTCTCCACATTAATATCAAACTTAGTGGAGACACCCAAATGACCTAACCCAGTGCAGAGTTCAGAATCTCCAAATTCAAGAATTTCACCACCTTTTCTCTCCCTGGAAGCAGGGATCACTAATATGTATAACTATCCATGAATTATTTCATTTTTGTAATCCTTGGCATCTAGTACACAGTAGCCACCTAATTATTTCATTAAAATGGAACATAAAAAGTGAACTTTTAAAAATGATCAGGTATCGGGCTACCTACACTGTCTCCTAGCTCCTCCTACTCCTCTGTAAGTATCCTCTTTTTTTTTTTTCCTGGTTCATGCTGGTGAAATCAAGAACTCCTTATGTGGAAACTCCCTTTATTAGCGCAGATTCTCCTTAACCTTTAGTCTTAGAGAATTGCTGAGATTAAGCCCATGGTTATATAGGTATATGATATATATGATAAGACTTAGACAAGCCATCCCTCTGTCCATGACTATTTTGCCTAAATGAAATGGCATTCCCACGTGATAATTCCCAATTCTGCCTCCATTTTTTTCACTTACTCTTTATACCTGAAATACCATTCTTCTCCCTGTTTGCCAATAGGTTTTTTCATTCCTAATTAAATGAGCTTCTGAAATCTAAGGATTAATACAGTGCAGCGGAAAGAGTTTGGAGACACTGGCCCTTAGTTTGAATCCCCGGTCTCCTACTTACTACCTGTATGATGTGCATGCCAGTTACCTCTTTTGGACTTCATTTTCCTCCTCTGTAAAATGAAGGATTTGGATTAGGTACCCATGAGTTGCAAAGGAGCTTGATATTAGGAAGAACTTCCCAAGAATTAAAACTATCCAAGAGTGAATTGGGCTGCTTTCAGAGGTAGGGATTCCCCCTCCTTAGAGGTCTTAAAGGAGATGCTTGCTGGCTGACCTCTTGTTAAGTATATATTTTTTTAAAGGCAGTTGGAGTTAAGTGACTTGCCCAGGGTCACACAGCTAGTAAGTGTCAAGTGTTTGGTCTGAGGCCAGATTTGAACTCACCTTGTCAGGTATCTTGTAGTAGGGATTCCTTTTCATGTCTGGGTTGGATTATATAGCCACTGAAGTCAATACTAGCTATAGATCTATAGGTAGCACAATGGATGCAGCATTGGACCTGGAGTCAGGAAGACTTGAGTTCAAGTGTGGCCTCAAACACTTCCCAGCTGGGTGACCTTTGGCAAGTCACTTAACTTCTGTCTTCCTCAGTTTCCTTGTGTGGAAAGGTGGGAACCTACCTACCAAAGTAATTGTAAGGATAAAATAATATTTGTTAAGTGCTTTGCAAACCTTAAAACTCTATATCAATGCTAGCTATTATTATTACTATCGTTATTCAGGGTACATAGTTGATCTTTAATAAATGCTCATTGATTAACTGTTGTTCCGCCCACTGCATTCCTGGTTCATTTCCACCTGAATCTTTTGTGTTCTGGCCAGCAGCAGGCTGGCCCAGGGATGCGTTAGCAGCATTTACACAGACAAAATGAATGATAATCAACTGTGTTATATTTGCAGATATGAGTTACCAGGAATATATGCATTAAACTTTGTTTTGAAAAACTCCCTTGGTGGTGGAGGCCTTGCATCCTTGAGGAATGACCCACACGTATGTATCTAGATTTTGAATGATATTTATGTCTTCTTAAAATTTTATTTCAGTATTTTGTTTTTCCCCAGTTACATGTAAAAACAATTTTTAACATTCGTTTTTAAAACTTTGAGTTCCAAATTCTCTCCCTTCCTCCCTCCCCACACCCCCACTGAGAAGGCAAACAATTTGATATAGGTTATATATGTTTAGTCATGCAAAACAGAATATTTATGTCATAAGCATATCTGAGAGGATGTTGTGACCAATCAGCTTACAGCTCCACCCTGAAAGAAATGTTACCAGGGACGCTTTGGCTTACTTTTGTGCTTAATGTTCATTACAATCCAGGATGACCAACTGAGCAAGGAAGAGAATTAAATTAATTTCCATTGCAGCTACATCTGGAAGTAAAATTTATATGTGCTTTAATCAGTAATCATTATATTAATCAATAATAATTAATTAATAGGATTTAGAAGTTGTCATGTAAAGAGAAAAATTGTAAAGCAATTACAGAGAACTAAGTAGGGGGAAAACAATTGATTGGAGAGTGAATAACTCTGAATGGTGTAGGCTCAGTGAAATCTTTATTGAGAGAAACAAAGGTATGGATAAGAATAATTAACATCTCCCAAAGTTCAAGCTGAGACCAGGCTGAGGGCAGAGTCCTGACAGGCCAGAGTGGAGGACAACCCGCCATAGCCACAACGGGGACTAAAAATCGAAGGGTGAAACCAAGCCCATCACATTCTTTGTAGCATTTGGAAGTTTCCCTCTTAAGTTGTAATCCTTGGTAGGTCTCAGGGATAATTCATAATAGTACATTTCTTTATAGGTGTAAATAAATCATTAGATGTTTTATTTTTAAACAAACAGGTAAAGTTTTACCTGGAAAATATCAGAGGTTTAGTGATACTGTCCGGCCTTCCAGCCTGCACTTCTTTCTATAGTGTCTTTTTCTAGGCATATGGTAATAGGAAAGAGTTTATTGATTAGTCCATGGTATCTGATCTTGCAAAATTAGACTGGCTTGGCTTATTCACTCTTGCCCTTGTGGTTCTTCACTTTAGAAGTGTTATGGAGTAGACGGCTTCTTTAGGCGTCCTTCAGCCCTCTGGGGCCTAGCTGGCATACCCCTTCCTCTGTCCTGAAGATCACTACCCTCAAAAATTTTGTGGAGGGAAAAAAGACCATTTTTCAGTATGGCAGATAAGATTGATTAGCTGCTTTATTAGACAAACCAATGCATTTGGAAGACAGCTTCTAAGATGCTGCTCAAAATGCCCCAGTACCTGAATTCTATTTTACGTCTATAAAAAGGCAAACAGAAATGCCACCTGTGAGGCAGTCAGTATTTACATGGCTGTCGGGACCCAGACTTTCCTGAGTACCCAAACTGAGCCATCTTGTGCTGAAGTAAAGGAAAAAAAGTAGTCTGTGTAAGGATTACTTAAGGGTCATGTAAGTCAAGCTAGTATCTAAAGTTGGGTAACACCTTCCTGGGCACAGAAGAAGTAGACTATATTATGGTTCTCTAATGGAAGACTGTTTTCAAAATAGAAACACTTCAGCTAAACTGGCTTCTTTGCTAGTCCTGGGCTAGTAAAAGGCAAGAGAGAATTAATTGGTGCCAGCATGTTAGCCAGCCAGTCAGTAAACAGGCATTTGAAGGTGCTGGGAATTGGGGGAGGGAAAGAAGAGGAAAAAGGGAAGAGAGTAATAAAAGGAAAAGAAGGAAGGGAAGCTGCCCTAAGAGAAGGGAGACATAACATGGTCCATAGCTCAGGCCCCTGCCTTGTCATTGTTCTCAACTAAGGAAAGGTGTAACTTGATTTATGCAGTAGGCATGGATGTTTCTGATACATCTTGAATACAAATTACATGAGTAGGCCGAGAACCCCTCTTCAGCTCTTTATAACCCTGCTCAGTCCCTTAAAACTCTTTTATAAACTCAGGCAGTTAAGTGGCATAGGGGACAGAGCATGGGTTGGAGAGTCAGGAAAATCTGAGTGAGAAACTCACCTGTGGTCCTTACTAGCTGTGTTATGTGGGCACATAATGTAACCACGTTCAGCTTCAAATTCCTCATCTGTAAAATGGGGGTAAGGAGCACATATCCCTCAGGTTTGTGGTCAAAACCAAGTAATAGAAGTAAAGCACTTTGCAAATCTTAGAACTATATAAATGCTATGAATCCTGGGCTGCAGTGTAGTGAGTTCTCTATCAATGGTGGTTCACTTTAGCAATTCACTAAAAAAAACCTTTAGGAAGCACGTAACATATGCTTAATATGATAGTCACTGCCTTCAAGAAGCTTATATTCTTTTTTGTTTGGGGGGGGCTAGGCAATGGGGTTAAGTGACTTGCCCAAGGTCACACAGCTAGTAACTGTTAAGTGTCTGAGGTCAGATTTGAACTCAGGTCCTCCTGACTCCAGGGCCCATGCTGTATCCACTGCACCACCTAGCTGACCCAGGAGCTTGTATTCTTAAGCAGAAGATAAATGAACACTTTTTGGGGTTGTTGTAGAGTGGCTTTCCTGTTTAGGCACATACTGGACTTGAGAAACTCCAAGGTCCTTCCAAACAATGAGATTCCTTTTTTTTTTTTTAAATAAATTTATTTTTAGTTCTCAACATCTACTTCCATAAGATTTTGAGTCCCTAATTTTATCCCCATCTCTCCCCTCCCTCCACCCCAAGATAGTATGTAAATTGATACAGGCTCTACATATATATTCACATTAAACCTATTTGCAACATTAATCGTGTTGTGAAGAAGAATTAGGACCAATGGGAGAAACCAGGAGAAAGAACAAACTATGAGATTCTTATGAGACTATCTTAGATACTATATTCATCTAGGAGTAACAACCAGAGGGTAAAAAAAAAAAAGTAGCCTGAGCAAGAGAATAAACCCCCTTGGGATTTGCATCAAATCTTGAACTTGTAACAGCGCACAACTTTCACATTTTCCCTTTATTTCCTCTATTGAACCTGATTTCAAATCTAACCTCAGATACTAGCTGTGTGACCCTGGGCAAGTCATTTAACTTTTATCTGCCTCAGTTTCCTCATCTGTAAAATAGGGATAATAGCAGCACCTACCTTCCAGGGTTGTTGTGAAGATCAAGTGAGATAATATTTGTAAAGCCCTTTGGATTGTTATTCTATTATATTGTTATTCTATTTCTTCTTGCTAGATTTGGCACTAAGTCTTAATAAATTAGGCATACATAGAACTATCCTTAACTTTAAGATTAGAAGTACACAAATTTGCCTTCAGTATAACACAACTGTAGATGTGTCTCTAATCAGTCCATTGTAGGCATTAAACCTCTAGGCATTTAGGGCAGGGCCCTTAGAGCTAAGATAATTTTAGAATGCAGTGGATTGGGTGAAGAAGAGGAATGTGGAATTTCCACCATAGCAGACACTGTTTAATTATTCTTTTTTTGTCTAAGTTAATAAGCAATTTGACGTTTTTGATGAGATAAGAAGCTTTGGTAGTTATCAGAAGAATAAGAATTTGATTTCAGTGACCCTACGAGAAAGCTTCTTAACACTCCAAAAAGTAGAATGGGCCCACCTGAGGAGTGAGTTCCCCATCAGTGGAGGTCTTCAAGCAGATACTAGATGACTACTTGTTGGGGATGTCACAAAGGGAGTTTTTCTTGGGATGCCAGTAGCAATAGGCCACATTTTCTCTCTGGATACTTTCCACTATTTCCCCCCCAATCTGTTTTATTTCCAACTCTACCTCCTGCTTATGATTTCTCTCATTCATGGGTTGTCTACTTATTGGCATACTGAGACCTTTCATTTCTTTTTCCTTGCACAAAATGTACCTAATTACACTATTCTTAGACTATTTAGGCAATTCTCCCACCTCTGGTTCTGTTATTTCATTTGCTCTGTGTTATTGGGTGCCTAATTGCATTTTGATAGAGTCACAGTATTTGATAAAATCTCACTCACTCAAGCCAGCTGAAATAGAGGTTACTTTTCCAAAACATCTATCTATATATCGTTGAATAAAAGCAGTTACTATGAAGTAGGCAATAAGCTTAATGATTTCTATTTATTCAACAGGGCAAAGCTCTTGGACAAATGCTATTGGACTTCCAGATTAAAAATGTTCCTGATTTAAAATCCCTAGTAGAATGACCAAAACAAGTGCTTCCACTTTGGGAAATTTAATGTTTCCTAATAAAAACACAAAACTGAAACTAGAACAAAGGACCAAAGGAGTAAATATCATAAATAAACAAACAGTAGCATGGTGAGTCAACAGCTACATCACCACCAAAAAGTTATCAGTGGGAGGAAGAGGGTAAATGGTCTTGGGAAAAAGACACCAAAGTGTTCACCTTCTATGCAATAACCACTAAGACTGGCTTAGTCTATCATTTATGTATGTCTTCTTAGCATTTAATGCAACTCTTCTTTATTTCCTATAAAATGTACTTATTAAATGATGGTGAAAACATACTTTGTTTATACACACACACACACACACACACACATACACACACACACACACGCACACACTCAATGCCAAAATCTACACTGAGCTGGCTTTAGCGCTCATCTGTGAGCAATATATGTTATTCTTTGTTATTTCCTCTTCAGATTTTCTTGCTGATTGTAATTCATAGCAGTCCTCATGCATTGGGGGTACAGAGTATAAATTTGGGATCAAAAGTAGCTCTCAATTACTTATTATGTAGAAGGAGTGCTATTTGAAAACAGTGGGTTTTTTTTTCTTTTCAGGCAGTTGTATTTGAAAAAAAAAAAAGATAATATCCTAATATTCAACATCCTATCTTGGAAGTCAGAAGGCATGAAATTAAAAAGTGCACTCAGTTAGTATGTTAATATACAATAAAGGCTTGCCATTAAACTGCCTTGGTCCACAGGATTGCCCTATTCTGTACCCCCAAAGACTTTTTTTAAACCAATAATTTAGCTACTTTGAAGAAAGCATTATGGTATATTGGAAAGAAAACTGTATTTAAATTTGAAGTTAGAGATTAGATCATTAATAAACATTTATTAAGCACTTACTATGTGCCAGGTACTGTGCTAAGCATTAGACATGGGTTCAGTCTTGATTCTTCTATGAATTATCCATATGACCTTAAGCAAATCACATAACCTCTCTGGGCCTCAGTTTCCTCATTGTTAAAATGAGGGGTTTGTACCAAATGGTCTTGACATCTAGCTCTAAATCTCATGAATGGATCTGAAGGGATGCCCCTTCCTAGATTATGCCAAATTCTATACTATGGCAAAATAGTGCTATATTAAGCTTGTGAAGTATTTTACTTTATTTAAAAATAATTGTTTTTTGCATCTTTAAGTACACAGATGAATTCTTTGAGTTTGATGCCCCCTCTGGTGCTACCACATCAGTATGGCTCCTTTACCTGTAACCTTATTGCCAATGGCATAGGCAGGGTACGAGGCTATCTATCCTTTATCATTTGTCCCTTATACAAATAAAATAATGGACTTCAGATCTGATGGAGACCTTAAGGATCACATAGCAGAGCCCCTCTCACTTTAGAGATGAGGAAACTAAGGTACAGAGGTATAATAATTTGCCCAAGCTCACAGAGTCAGTTAATGGAAGGGCCAGGTCCTGAACCCAGTTATTCAAACTCCCAGGTCAGGCTCTTTCTACTACACCATATATAATAAATGAGACATTGGGTCAGATGTCCATTGTGAAACCTATTGTACGTCAAAGCTTCTGAGTAAAATGGTATTCTCGATTCTGCTAGTTTTTATTGTGATTTTATAATATAAGCCAATGTTCCACAGCACACTGCTTTTCAACTACTTGGCTGTCCTATCCTAATAAAGGACAAAGAATTCCCTGGTGACACTCAGTTATGAATCAGCTGTGATGGAAAGTGGGGAAATCTGCCACCTAGATAGTTAGGTTTCAAGCTGTCTTCCATATGGGAAGTGGTGTCTCTTCTAAGGGTATGGGAATTCAGTCCCACAGTGGTGTTCTTTGAGTTTGGGGAGTTTCCACTAAGTTTATAATTGCCCAACTGGTCTCCAACACTACTCACAAATTTATATGTGTACTCTGTCAAATAAACAGATTTATAAATGTGTTGTTGAGAAAGAAGAAAGATGGAAAAAGA